ACCACCACAGGCACTGGTACTGGTACAGGCACAGCACCAACTAATACGACTACTACAACTTCAACTGGTGCTGGAACTTCACCCACTGGTACAGGTACTGCCCCAACTGGCAGTGGTGGTACTTCTCCTACTGGAAGTGGTGGTGCTACACCTCCCGCAACAGCTACGGCCACAGCTACTGCCACAGCTCCAGCACCAACCTCACCACCTGCCGGAACAGCACCAGCACCCACAGGTTCGGCACCAGCACCCACAGCTACGGCGCCAGCACCCGCACCAACAGGTACATCACCATCACCAGCCCCAACAGGTACAGCCCCAGCACCAACAGCCCCATCACCAACTCCCCGTGCCTTGGCTCTGGATGAAATTGAGGAGAATGAAATTGAAGCCGCCTCCCTTGATGAGGATGATAATGCCCTGGCCGATGATGAAGAGGGAGAACGTGCTCGTCGCCTTCGTCGTATGCGCCGCACTCGCCGTCGTAACAGTCGCAACAAGGCTCGTCGTAATCGTAAAATCCGTCGTAATCGCAAAATCCGCCGTAATCGCAAAATCCGCCGCAACCGCAGACTTCGTCGTCAGCGTAAAAATCGTGCTGTAAGACGTCGTCGCATCAACCGCCGCCACCGCAGGAATAACAGAAGTGGTTAAGGAAGGCAATTAAATGGATTTGAAAGTGTTTTGGAACCAAGAAAGATTTAATAAAAATAATAAAAAAGTATTCGAAATGTTTTTTTTCATTTCGTAATAAGCATCGAAAAAAAAATATTTAACAAATCCAGTCCGACAAAAATTTATTTAAAAAATGCAGTCTTCGAAAAACAGTATTTAAAAAATCCACGCCTTATATAAGGCCTCAAAAAAAGTATTTAAAAAATCGACGCCTTATATAAGGCCTGGAAAAAAGTATTTAAAATATCCACGCCATATAAGTCGTTTGTAACTCATCGAAATAATCATTTCCGAACCTATAAAGTATATATATTCTTGATCAGCGTAAAATTCTATGACGATATAGCTATGTCCGTATGTCTGTCTGTTGTAATCACTCTAACGTTTAAACGAATTGAGCTAGAACGCCAAAATTTAGCATAGAGTCTTTTGTCTGCAGTCAGGTCAAGTTCGAAGATGGGCTTTATCGGTCCACGTTTAAGCATAGCGCGCTTTCCAACCGAATTCGCTGAAATTTGCTACATTGGTTTCTTATTGTCTCCACAAAAAATTATAAATATAGGTCCACATTTTCTGGTAGCCCCCATATAACGGTACCTCCTAATTTTCAGAATTATGGGGATTTTGATCGTATTTTTCCGCCGAATTGGCTGTAATTTAGTATTTTGAGTTCTTAATAGGCTCCAAACCTCTCCACAAAAATTATGAATATAGGTCCATTTTTTCGGATAGCCCCCATATAAGGAAGGGTAACCAAAATTTTCTGTATTTTGGGGTTCTTGAGGGCGTTTTCAACCGATTTTACTGCAATTTGGTATTTTGTAGTCGTATATGGTAACAAATCTCCCTACCAAAAATTATTAATATTCGCCCCTTTTTTGCGGTAGTCCCCGTATAACCCCCTTTATATACCCTTCACCACACTGTGGTACAGGGCATCATGTCTTGGTTCCTTTTGAGAATATGCATAGAATCACTTTCTGGGTCGATTTATGCATGTCCGTTCGTCCAAAAAAAATCGGTATATATTTTCGTCCGATTTGTGGTAAATGAGGCACCAATGACCCTATATATCTTTCGATTTGCACGAAATTTGGCATAGGGCAATGAATTAACTCTAGAAATAAGTCTGTTAATTTTCGTGAAAATCGGCTCAGATTTGGATATAGCTCCCATATATATTTTCGTCCGATTTTATGTAAATGGTGCACAAAAGTCCCTATATATCCTTCGATTTGCACGAAATTTGGCATAGCGTATTGAATTGAGTCTTGAGTGATGAGTGCTTAGTTTTGGGAAAATCGGTTCAGATTTCGATATAGCTCCCATATATATTTTCGTCCGATTTTATGTAAATGGTGCACCAAAGTCCCTATATATCCTTCGATATGCACGAAATATGGCCTAGGGTAATGAATTAAGTCTAGAATGACGTGCATAGCGTACTGAATTAAGCCTAGAAGGATGTGTGTTAAATTTCGTGAAAATCGATTCCGATTTAGATATAGCTCCCATACATATTTTCGTCCGATTAAAGTAACTGGTACACCAAAGTTCCTATATATCTTTCGATTTGCACGAAATTTGGCACAGCGTACTTAATTACGCCTAGAATGGTGTGTGCTAAGTTTCGTGAAAATCGGCTCAGATTTGGATATAGCTCCCATATATATTTTCGTCCGATTTAATGTACATGGTGCACCAAAGTCCCTATATATCTTTCGATTTGCACGAATTTTGGCATAGGGTAATGAATTAAGTCTAGAAAGACGTGTCTTAAATTTCATAAAAATCGGTTCAGATTTAGATATAGCTCCCAAATTTATTTTCGTCCGATTTTATGTAAATGGTGCACCAAAGTCCCTATATATCCTTCGATTTGCACGAAATTTGGCATAGGGTAATGAATTAAGTCTAGAAAGACGTGTCTTAAATTTCATAAAAATCGGTTCAGATTTATATATAGCTCCCATACATATTTTCGTCCGATTTAATGTAAATGGTGCACCAAAGTCCCTATATATCATTCGATTTTCATGAAATTTGGCAAAGAGTTCTGAAATAGGTCCAGAATGATGTGTACTGAGTTTCGTGAAAATCGGTTCAGATTTAGATATAGCTCCCATATATATTTTCGTCCGATTTAAGGTAATTGGTGCACCAAAGTCCCTATATATTTTTCGATTTTCACGAAAATTGGCACGGCGTACTTAATTAAGCCTAGAATGATGTGTGCTAAGTTTCTAGAAAATCGGTTCAGATTTCGATATAGCTCCCAAATTTATTTTCGTCCGATTTAAGGTAAATGGTGCAGGAAAGTCTCTATATATCTTTCGATTTGCACGACATTTGGCACAGTGTAGTGAATTAAGCCTAAAATGATGTGCGCTAACTTTTGTGAAAATCGGTTCAGATTTGGATATAGCTACCATATATATTTTCGTCCGATTTAAGGTAAATGGTGCACCAAAGTCTCTATATATCTTTCAATTTGCACGAAATTTTTCACAACGTACTGAATTGAGTCTAGAATAGTGTATTGTAAGATTCTGAAAAATCTATTCAGATTTCGATATAGCTCCCACATATACATATATATTCGTCCGATTTTACAGAAATGGTGTACTAAACTCCTAATGTTTGTCCCATTAACACGAAATTTTGCACAACGTATCAAATTGAGATTTGAATGACGTTATTCCGTTTTGTTGAAATTGGTGCAGATGCAGCCATAGCTTCTATATGTATATGAACGGGTGTGTGATTGAAATTAAAATATTTAACAGTGCGGCGTACCGAATAGCGTGTATAAATTTTGCTAAAAATTGTTTTTCATTAATTTTTCCCATGGTACGCAGACGATTCTAAATCTGCCCGAATGGAATTAAATTTACCATAAGTTTTCATAGGTGGTGAAGGGTATCATATAGTCGGCCCAGTCCGACTTTACTACTTTCCTTATTGGTTTATATTAAAATATTTATCTGATTTGTTCCGCGTTTTGAGTTTGGATCTAAGACTCTATTGTAATCATTTCACCTGCGGAGTATAGCGAGATAAAAAATAAGAACATAAGGTTCGATAATGAACTATAGCCGCATTTAGACCTAGACCCTGTGTGGAGGTTCCAGAGAAGGAGTGGACCGATATTCCCCATCTTCGAATTTGGACTACGTATGGAAGAAATAATAAGATGGGCAAAGTTTGGATGAAACCTAAATTTTCTGAAATGGATTTAGTCCAAAGAAACATGGGGTCTAGAACCAATATTTCGGTGAGACACATTTTTATCGTGTTAAAGTATATACACCCTCATTAGCCATAAGACTGAGATTTCTGTTTTTAGAAATGTCGGTATAGGTCCCCTTTTATGTCATTTCTATATTTTCATTTCTAGAACCTGTCAGTATATATATGGTGTAGGGTATCCAAAGTTCGGCCCGTCCGAACTTAATGTTTTTTCACTTGTTCAATTTTATTTCCTCTCTCTTTTGTTCAATTTTATTTCCTCTCTCTTTTTATAAAATTTAAAAGCAAAAAAAAAAAAAAAAAAAAACTCATGAAATCTCAAAAATTACGTGTTCTCCAGACGTCATTATGGTCATGGCATGACAACAAGCTGAAACATATGACACCGTAAAACTGACTTTTATGACCTGTAAAAAGTCTTAAAGAAATGTTGTCGCTTCAATGAAAGTGTGTTTATGAGTGTAAATTTGTATTTTTCTGTCTCTCACATTATTTGTCAAAGTGATGTAATGTAGAGTAAAAAAATCATAACTGTGATTCATAAAATTCAAAATAATTCGTTTGTTTTTTTATACCCTTCACCACACTGTGGTACAGGGTATTATGTCTTTGTGCATATGTTTGTAACAGGTAAAAGGAAACGAGATAGACACATGGTTCCTTTTGAGAATATGCATAGAATCACTTTCTAAGTCGATTTATGCATGTCCGTCCGTCCGTCCGTCCGTCTGTCCGTCTGTCCGTCTGTCCGTCTGTCTGTCCATGTTAAATTGTAAACAAAGTACAGGTCGCATTTATGATCCGAATTGGATGAAATTTGGCATAGATCACTTATTCGGCCCAAGGACGAACCCTATTGAAATTGGGAAAAATCGGTTCAGATTTAGATATAGCTCCCATATATATATTTAACCGATTTAATGTAAACGGCCCCTAAATATCTTTCGATTTGCACGAAATTTGGTACAGCCTAATCATTTAGGTCTAGAATGATGTCTGCCAAGTTTCGTGAAAATCGGTCCAGATTTAGATATAGCTCCCATATATAGTTTCGTCCGATTTCATGTAAATGGTGCCCCAAAGTCCCTATATATCTTTTGATTTCCACGAAATTTGGTATAACGTACTGAATTAAGCCTAGAGTGATGTCTGCCAAGTTTCGTGAAAATCGGTCCAGATTTAGATATAGCTCCCATATATAGTTTCTTCCGATTACATGTAAATGGTGCCCCAAAGTCCCTGTATATCTTTCGATTTGCACGAAATTTGGCATAACGTACTGAATTAAGCCTAGAGTGATGTCTGCCAAGTTTCGAGAAAATCGGTCCAGATTTAGATATAGATCCCATATATAGTTTCGTCCGATTTAAGGTAAATGGGTCTCCTAAGTCCCTATATATCTTTCGATTTGCACGAAGTTTGGCATAAAGTACTGAATTAGGTCAAGAATGACGTGTACCATGTTTCGAGGAAATCGGTTCAGATTTATATATAGCTCCCATATATATTTTCTTCCGATTTAAGGTAAATGGGTCTCCAAAGTCCCTATATAACTTTCGATTTTCACGAAATTTGGCATAACGTACTGAATTAAGCCTAGAGTGATGTCTGCCAAGTTTGGAGAAAATCGGTCCAGATATAGATATAGCTACTATATATAGTTTCGTCCGATTTCA